GGCCATCTACAATCCACAGTTGTCTGAGACAGGGAGTAGATAATTCACATGTAAAACTAAGATTCTTACTACAGATAATTGCACTGTATCCATGAACAACCAAGGGACAGCTCTTCACTGACATCACAGTATCACTTATAGAGGGGATGGACTACTATCACTCATTGTGTATTGAATTTTTACAAGAAAATGTACTGCCTGAACAGGGCTCCTGTTAAGAATCACATTATAATGTATATAAAGAAGTAGATATGCAGACTAGTTTTAATTCTGTATTATTGTTTCCACTTGTACCTCACCATTAACACAGGTAGTGCAAACTGAAATCCCAGATATGCAATTGTAGAAGTAGGTTAAATGTTTTGAATCCTTCTATCTTAGATCATTCACTCATTTAAACACACTCTCTGTCTTGTGAGTTTATTAACATTTGTTAATTTATGCGAGGAATCTTTCAACAATCTTTCTTGGTTGCTCTTGAGAATCATCTCTTTTCCAATTCAAATTTTGGCTTACCCATTTGTGTAGCTATTTCTACTGCCTAGTTTTTTCAGTGTAGACCTTTATGACTTGTTAAAGAGAAAATATCTTGGCTGGTTTAGGGTACCTTCTTATTCCATTATTACCATCATGATCATCATCACCTATAGAAGCAAGTGTAGGCACTTCTTCAGAAGGCTGCAGAGAGTGTGAGGTTAGGCTGGGGAATTTCACTGAAGATGCTAAAATCTCCCCTCCTTCCCACACAGGTAGATTAATGGTATTAAGGTGTATCATATGTTAGCTTCTAATGGCACACAATTCTGAAGAGTAAGTTTGTTATCTGCAAATAACTTTTTGCAGGCAGAATGCAATCTACTGTTCATTACAATTTTGGTAATGTGCAGTTTAATAAATAAATGAATAAGATCATGGCTGACAAACCACAAGGTCTGGGTTCACATGCTATGCTAAGCAAAAATCCAACAAATCATCTTAGATTTTAGTGTGATGTTTGAATCCACCCACTGTCTCTCAGCTGAACTTAACATGCTGTTTGGAAGAGACCGTGGCAAAGAGAAGAAAATTATTTGACTGGGTTCACTTAAGGCAGTGTGTCTCAACCTCAGTAACTTTAAGGTATGTGGACCAACTCCCAGAATTCCCCAGCTAGCATGCTGGGAGTCCACACATCTTAAAGTTGCTGAGGTTGAGAAGCCATGGATTTCAAACAATTGTTGGATCTACACAAAAAGCTGAACCAAAAGCAGCAGACCACAGTATGGTTTTGTATGATGGGAGAACCAGCCTTTGAGGTAAGAGGGGAATAGTATTATAACCAACAACAGCCACTCAAGAGAAGTAGAGATTGAGAAAAAAACCCCACTTACACTTTCTGCTGAGGTTAATGAACATCAGTTGTTCAAAATGGGAGAGAGGGGCAACTGTCAACAGTCTTTTAAGTTACTGTAATGTCTTGTAAATTATTATTATTTTTTAAATAACAAAGCAGTCTTCCTCAGCCCGATGCTGCCCAGGGATGTTAGATTATGTCTCCCACAGCCCTATGATAGCCATGGACTGCCAAATTTAGTCACAGGGCTGTGGCAAATATACATTGGGGGTAGTAGCATCATGGACACATTAAAGTAGATTGGGCTAAAAATATAATAACGGAATAAAATAGTTGGTTGTGTTCTTTTTCTCAGGCACTAGCCTTGATTTCCTTTGCAGAAGGAACAGTTCCACACTATGGGTGTTTGTGACAGCTTGTGCCTTTACAATTAGTACCCGCGAGAAAGGGATCTGGGAAGGGAACTCGCCGTGTCCAGAGCCACCTTTATCAAGGTTATTAGGCGGGCACCGATTCTGCGCCTGCCCGCCCCCCCCCCCTTCCTCAGGCCGACAATCCAAACAGTGCATTAATTACATCGCCCCGCTTGCTTTGTGCTGGCGACCTGAATGGCGCTCTCCAGCCCTTTCTAAAACTTCTCAATCCAAGGCAATTTCGACTGGCGTATGCGCTCGCTCGCTCTCTCATTACGCGTTCGCCCTTTGTGTCCTTTCTGGGACTAATTTCATTTGTTAATTAGTTGCTAACAGCGTCGGCCCGGGGAGATAAGCACACCATTAGCACTTGGGCTTGCCCAATATCCAGCAGAGCTGCGGCGACCTCACGCCGAGCCCGGGAGATGCAGGAGGGGCGCCCAGCCCTAACCCCCACAGGTCTCGGCGGGGACCTTTCATTCCTCCCGCGGTAGCCACAACACAGAGCTCCCGGCTGAGGACTTTAATGAGGGGTGGGGGCAAGCTGCCGCTTTGCCGCGTCTGATCAGGGGAGAAGCGGACTTCTATTGATTTTTTAAATCCGCGTCGCACTCGGGCCTGTGGACCGGGGGAGGGGCAGGGAACGGAGAGGCAGAGAAGCTCCCCTAAATTTTCTTTGTCTCCCTCTTTACCTTTTAAAGACCGCAGAAAACTTTCCCCCATTGTTTGTGGATCCGCTTCCAATTCTTAGCCTGTTAGCGTAATTGCTCTGCCCAGCCGAAAGATGCCCTTGAAATATGCGGCACTACAAGGCTCATGATCCCCAGCCAGACCAGGAAAAATGAGCGCTGTAGACCCGCACACCTACAGTGCCTCGGGTTGGGGCAAGCCAGCACAAAGATTCCTGGAGGCCTTCTTCGATCCGTTAAATTTACCACGCCATCCATTGAATTTCGACATACCCCTCCTATACCTCTTCTTCCCGCTTTCATGGGAGTTAAAACCCTTTAGCCTCGGGCGACTGCAGATTACACGTGGAAAACTGAGCTGTAAATTTCTCACAGAACCTTCCCTGGAGATAAAGGCGCTTAAATAAAGCTTTATTTCTCTCTGCCCCACAAACTTCGCGATCCACCTTGAGCAATATGTGTACGTGCGTGTTTTAAGCACCTTTGGCCGGCTAATCAGCGAACTGCTGTGATTAATCAGCTCCTTTCAATGGTGTTGCATGTGCATTTTAAATCTGATTTTTACCCCGCCCCGCCCCCCTCGGTTATGCTCTGATGGCGAAATAGTGAAGCCCATTGATTTACATATCTTGTCCTTAGAAAGTTTACTTTCCAGCTCCCGTGATTTTCTGCAGTTATTTGAAGAAGGGAGGGAGGACGAAGAGGAGGGAAATGAGCTTCATTGTGTGGCTTTAAAATATCAGTTCGTTCTTAGATGTAGATTCTTGCATAGAGTCTAAAACCATAACGTTAAGACTTCAGGAAAGAAATTTAGGGCCCCTTTAAGTCAAACGAAACGGAACGGCCTGAAAGGCTTATTTTGAAGAGAGATGATCAAATCGTGCTTTAGAGTTGAACAAAAATTGTATGATTCCCACAGTGTGGGACTAACCTGATCTATTATTACTGTTTATATAGTGATATTACTAATTCGGATGCTATGTCTTCCGTCCCAACCAAACGATCCCAGAACGAAGTTACCTCTATTATGCCTTAATAGATGAATGGCTGGTAATGGCACTTATTTTTTGTATTCACACAGCGCGTTGACCTTTTTCACGACTGAACCCATTCATTTATTATGCAAATTTACCCCGCCCCCAATCAACTCTGGGCGGCGAACAAGCATAAAACCAGATACAGAAGAACAACAGGTTTTCTTCCTGAGTTTTCACAATATATCAAACCATTGATTAACCAAATGGTCTAGGATTCCCCCTTCCCTGCTCAAACTAAAGTTAAAACTAAATACATTTAATAAATTATGCAAATACAGTTGCTTGGCCTATGATGATCTGGTTAAGCGTGTGATGTGAACACAACCATAGAGGAGCCTCCCCTACCCGTGTTTACCGGTGGGCGCTTGGGGATGCTCTCATTTTACTAAAATTCCTAGTCTCCAAGATTACACTCGCAGCTGATCTTCCCGGGCAAATCGATCAGCTTGCAAGCCTAGTAGAGGGACTGAAGTAATTGATTGATTGACATCCCTTCGCTATGCGTTTCGAAGGACATAAGGAAAAAATCGCTTTCATGGGAGGGGAGTTAAGTCGTTTGGCCTTAAGGGGAAAAAAAGGCTCAACTATGCGACATATTTCACATGTACCAGCGCATGTGCATATGGTTCATGATCGGCGGTACGAGTTAAATAAATATACGCCGTCTTGTTTTTTTAACAGGAAAGCGGTTCATAAATAAAAGAAATCAAACGATTGCCTCTGCTATTTTCTACCCTATTCGGTTTTGGTACAGATTTTTGAAAGGTCGGCTATTAAAAACCGAGTATTTAAACGTGGGCGCCAAACGTTTCCGCCTCTGGCTAATGCTACAAAGACTGTCAAAATGGAACTGTTAAGGTTGTGTGAACGAGATGCATGTCGATAAATACTTAGGAAAACTCGCTACGGCAAAAATCAATACATAAATAAAAATAAACGCTCAGATCAATATATGACCTTTAGAAGATCGTGAAACGATAATCCGGAGGTTGGAAGGTGCCACTTAATTTCGCCTTCCCTCTCGCTTTCTCGCAAAATGCAACGGTCTTTCCCACACCTCTCCTCGGAATCAGTTTAGAGACAACGTGACTGGAACACGTAGAGGGCAAACGTCAGGTCCTCCTCGGACCTCAGAGAATGATGCCCTTGAGTGTTCCTTATCGTTTTGCCCAACCAAAGGCTTCATTTCCACGTTCTGCCTTCTCAATACGTGACACTACTTTGAGCACGCAAGAGGGATACTTTTCCTACCGTCCCGTTCCATTCACACTGTCTTTGGGAGGCGACACCGTTATCAAGCTCCTGCCGCCTCTCGAGCCGGAGCACAAGGGCTGTTTCTGGGAGTTGTAGTTCTCAGTCCCGTTGTGTTCTGGCCGCCACCTGCGACAAGAAGACTTCATTTCCCAGCTATCCTCTCTGCTGTTCTCCCTGTTCCACTGGCGAGGCCGACCCGTCAATCAGTTGGCGTCACAATGAATGTAGCACACTTGGATTTTTTTTTTTTTTTGGTATGTAAAACTCTCCTTTGCCTCCTGATTGCGGGGTACCTAATAATAAGACTTTTAGGGCGGGTTTATAAAGGCAAGGCTGGAGACAAGTGTCATGTGGGCAGCAGCTCGCCTCGCCGAGGAGTGGCGAGGCAGCAGGGCTGAGTGAAGACAGGGTTTGGTCGGGGTTTTCCACCCCCATCTGTCCGTCTGTCTTTTGGTCATCTGGAATGCTGCAAGTGAGGTCGCGGCGAAGCTGAGCGCGAAGACAGGGAGCCCGGCGGGAAGGGTTCGCTGTGGAGGCTGCCGGGCAATGAAGCGCCAAAAGCTGGCTGTGGCAGCTGGCTTCTGCCTGTCCTTCTTGCTGGGCACTTTGCTCAACGTCTTATTCATCCCGGCCTTTGATCCCCTTCAGCAACAACAGCAGCAAAATGCGGGCATCGCGCACTCGCTGGCGGGCTCTCCTCTGGACGTGTCCTGGGAGGCGGAAAGGAGAAGCAGCGGCCGTCACCGGCGCTGGGATCTAGCTCGGCAGATCCGAGAGCGCTACGAAGAGGTGCTGCGGTACCAACAGAGGCAGCACGGGGAAGCGGGAGTGGCGGGAGCCGCTGCCAAGCCCCGGCCGGCGGTGAGACCGCTGGAGAGGCGGCTCATGGATCTCGCGCCGCCGAGGCTCCCCTCTTCGTCCACGGAGCGCAGCCCACGGGTGCTCCAGCCCAATTCGGCCGGTGTCGTCGCCTCTGGGGCGCCCTGGGCCCCCGGATCCCAACTAGAACTCTCTCTGGGCCCGCTTCGGTTGGGATGCCGGGACATTAGCAACGTGACAGAGGTGCATTACCTGGGCTCTGGCTACACCAAAGCGGTCTACAAAGTGGTGCTCAACCGGAGCCTGGCGGTGGCCCTGAAATCCGTCGATTTTGGGGGGCACGACATCGACAACTGCGTCAAGCTCTATGGGTCTCTGGAAGACTGTTACAGGCTGGCCTCCTATAAGATTATCAAGGAGATGGTCCTTTTGCAGCGCTTGCAGCACCCCAACATCCTCCAGGTAAGTACTGTAGGGAGTCCCTGATTTTAGGAACTTCAGACCTGTGGAGGCTGCGCGGCCCAGGCGGTGAAATATGGGATTTAGGATTCAAACTCAAACTTGATTGCGTTTTCGTTAAGCGGGATCCTAGTTTGTGCACAGACAAAATACTTTGTAAACATTCGGAAGAATTGGAGGGGGGGGGGGGGGGGGGATGAGGGCTGTTTTGTTAACAGGAGCCCGAATGATTATTTGCCGTGATCACAAACGTAGTTCAATTCGGTTCGCTTGCATCTGATGGGCTCGAGGAAGTGGAAAGAGGGCGTTCATTTCCCTGTGTTAAGAGTTTACGGCTGACCACGTGCGACTTTTCGTTGGTGGGGGGTGAGATGTTGCAATCTATTTGGAAGTAAGTTGCTGTAAACTGAGTTGAACTAGCTTCGAAGGTAACGTAGGATCGTGTTTCAAACAGTTGAAATCAAGGCTAAATCCGGAACAAGATTTAGAACTTAGGAGGGCTGTTTTGGCTACCGATGCTCCTGTCAGAGGTCAGATGCCAGCGAAAGAGTTCCTGAAGAGTTTGCAGAAGAATGAATAGAGCCGGTCTCATCATCTTAGGGACGGGGTCGACGATTCTCAACCCCTAGAACTTTAAAGCATGTATAAGACTCCCATGGAATTTGTTTCCATTTAAGTTTCCAATTGTAATGCCTAATGACATAACTATAAATGAAGCTGGAAATTTTATGCACATCTATAGCAAGTAAATCTTGCTGAATTTTTTTCTGAGCAGGTGAGAAAATTGCATGAACGTGGCCATATAGTCATCAAGAGTTGAACTCTGCTTGAGGGAATCTTTATTTTTTAGGCATGTGTAGAGTGGTGGTGTAACAGTCAGCGTGTTTGGGGACAGGGTGTGAAATGTTTCCCCTAAACTGGGAATATTGATCCAATGGTGAGAAAGCTGGATAAAACACATAGTTTGAGTAATTGGACAAAAGGTATTACTTTCACCAATTCAAAGAGTTTGGAAATGACTTTTTTTTGGGGGGGGGTTAGTTGTACATGAATTAGGGGTCTGTAGAATTTGGACCAAAGTAAATCTGGCAGGCCATTCTGTGAGTTCAGACAGGGAAGTGCTGCAATTATGTAAATGTGTAAGTTTTATAGCAAAATGAAATGCTAAATCCTCATCCAGCTCTTTGTTTCTGTCTACATGCTAAATCAGTGGAGGTAGGCAAAGCTGGGAGTTAATCTGCTTTCAGCAACTCTTGGAATTTAATATTCAGCCAAATCAGCATGAATCTTAAAAGGGAGATGAAAATGTGATGCTTCACAACTTTATTGTATCTTTTCTGAAAGGATTTAATAAGGCAGAGGAAAATCTGAAACCCTGGGTTCTGGACTAGAACCTGGCCTTCCTATACTACAAAATCAGAATTGCTAAAAATAAAAAGCTTGAGTTAAAGTCATTACTCCATTTCTTCAAAGGCAAAACAGGGGCCATTTAACTCTGGTTTCTTTGCTGAATTTGCACCATATCTATGAGGAGGACTTCATTGGGCAATTTCATAACTGCTTGAGGACCAATGTATGAAATTAGCTGAAATTTGAGTGCTTTGAGTTTTACCAGGTTTGGAAACCATCCTACCCAGAAAGGACAGATAAAAAGGCGAGACAGAGTGGGAAGGGGAGATGGCTGGGCAGCAGCGACTCTCCTCATTCTTCATAAACAGCAAGCAGAACAACAGGAGACAGAAGTTTCTGTTAGCAATTTTTTACTTTAGGTGCATATTTGTTGTTGGGGGCAAATTGCTCTTGTCAAAAGTACAGACAAGGCAATCAATGGGGCTTGACAGCCTCAGCTTCCTTCTCCACCTCCTTCAGACTGAGCTCTGTTATGTTTTTAAAACAAGGATGGTCTTTCAGATTCAAATTGATTTGCAAGGTCTCCTGCCTTTGGCACTATCCAGAATGTCATACACTGGGCGGGGGGGGGGGGGGGGTAGGGACCGTCCCCGTTTTTT